ATCATCGTCATGTCTGCCCCCTTGCGGGCTGGACTTTTTTTTCAATGACGAATTGGTATCAATAGCATTTCATTTATACCAATACTAGTGACCCTCCATTAATAATAAATCATCACATAACTGAAGCTGACAAAAAGATTGCTGTATAATTACGAAAAATTGCGAAAGTCATAACCGATATGTTTCGATATGATCCAATACTTTAACCGATCGTCAGATATGTCATTTCAAATTGTTTCTTCGACAAAGAATTGATATAATTCAATAAAAAGGAACATCATAACTATCAAATTTACACGAGTAGGATATTTAAGCCATATAAAGTATTTTTTTGTCAATGATGAGGCTATGGTGGAGAGAGTCTTCGATATTTCCGATCTAAATATGAATAAGTAAGAGGGAAGACTTTCTTTTGAACCCATGCGGCTGACAATTAGCATTGTCAAACACGAAGGGGGCTACAAAATGAAATCTTGTCCACATCTTATTCATATTTGATGCCTTTTCTATTAGATTCTATCGTCTTTGTAAATTTATAACGCTGAGAATCAATGCTCTAAATCTTGTTGCCATATTGTTTCATTGTAGCTGCATTTTGCGTGTAGTGACCTTGAAGAAACGATCTCATTTTTGAGTGCTTAAATAAATTTGGGGTTTGAATTTCTTAATAATTATGTGAACAAATCATAAATGCCGAAAAATGGCTCAGATTACCTTGGCTGTATTTGGAAAAACCTTTCGGACTTTTGGGTGCTTAATGCCCTTCAACTTCGTACTGTATTTGTCCTTTTTAACTTTTTTGATTCGAGCGTCACTAATGAGTCTTTTGTAGACGAAACGCGCATCTGGCATACAAAATTTTCTATGATCAGTTTATGAACTCACAGGAAAAGACGAAAACATTACATATAAAGTTTTACTCAGCAAGATGTTTCTGGGAAATTCGGTGTTGAGGACAGGTCTTTCTTTGATAGTCTCTGCTTACATGAAAACAAATTCATCACAGATACCATGTTGTATATAATTTGTCATGTTAGACGCGCACGTTTCGTGTAAATTTCTTTACAACTTGGTGCTAATTTGGGCTTGACATATTGCATAGACATTTTTCTATAGTTGACCTGACACGATTATTATTTTTGTATCGTTGGGTTGCTGTCAATGACATATATACTCAAAATCTTCTTTTATTCATGTTTACCTTCTCCATATTCTTACTTAAATGGAATGTAATATTATTACACCTACTGTAATTAATTATAACCTGTTAAGAAATGAAATCATCATGTACGCAATGACATCCGCGTTTTCATTACTTATTAAAAAAGTGTATTTACTTTCTGTCTTTATATGGTTTCCCAGTGATGTTTTTACAAAATAGTTTTTGCAACAACACAATAATCAATCAAGAAGTTGGTAAATTTATATTGGTATCTTCAGAAAAGAAATCTTACAGTATTTATAAGATTAATATAAATTTTGTTGAGTGTTTAAAACGCCAATTTCTGTCAAACGTTATAAAACTCCTTTTATAGCTGTTTAATGAAAAATTGTGAAGATTGAATGTTTACTTTGTATGGTAGGGTTTCCGCCAATTTCTTAATTAGAACTGCGTTTTATTGAATCTGTTATCAAATATTCAGTTTATTGTGGTTGAAGGGAAATAACTTTTTTTTAATTCTACAAAGAAAACTGTTAACATAATGGTTATGACAAAAGATGAATTGTGCAATCTTCTCAAACATTTATATTGCCAAAAGCCTTAACATCTATTCCATATATATTATGACAGTGAAACCTCTAAGGGGTTGACTGGAAAATGGAAATATTTAAATTCCTAATCTTCTAACCAGCAGTTAAACCCATGCTGGAGGGGTATGTGTTGGCTGTACGGAATGAACAAATATGTAGTCACATCCAGACGGAAAGGGGACGTTTAATCCGATGTTCCGTATCTTGAAAGTGACCGACTTTTTCTGCACGTTTAAATACCCTGTAATAACTCTATGGGGTTTGTAGAAGGCAAGATTCTGCCTCTTTCGAACGTATCCTTATTTTTTCAGTGGCAGTCGAAATGCGAGTCCTCCAACAAAGAGGTCCCATTTTGCAAAATCTACCAAGCTTTTGGATTTTTTTTGTTAATTTGTCCCTGTCCTTGATCTGCATAAAATTTACTTAATACTAAATGTAGTGAAAAAGAGAAATTCCAAATCAAACCAACGATCTAAAATTCTGCTGATACTGTGATAAAAAGAATTCAACAACTCCATGTTGGTAGGAGTTATGTTTGAGGTTGTTAACAATAAATTAATCCTCACATAAGACATGAAACTGCGAATCGGATGCTGGTCAAATGATTATGTTGTAGTTGCACGAGCATACTTAAAACTCAATCTTAAGCTTTCCCTTGGCACGAAAAAAGATTGGAACAAAAGGTACATGCGAATTCCGTACTTTGAATTTTAGAAGCATTAGATGTTGCATATTCGAGGAAAAGTAAGTATGAATGGATGTGAAATGTAACAATTTTCCTTAAAAAAGTCTATACGATAAAATGTATCGGTTGCTTGACTGATTACGATTGAATGGTTTGTTGAAAGTCTTTAAGATCAAGGCCTTATTACAGATAAACCAGAAACTTAGCATTGTTAATAATCAATGAAAATAAGGTATAGATTGATTGATTGTTGGTGTTTTAACGCCACTTTCAAGCGCCACTTTTGGGCTATTTCGTGGAGGCCAGTTTTTAATGGTGGAGGAAGCCGGAGTGCCCGGAGAAAACAACCGACCTTCGATAGGAAAACTGACAATCCTAGTCAATTAAGATTGGAGTCGAGTGCATCCGCACGAGCGGGGTTCGAACTCACAACCTCAGTGTTGACTGGCTAGTGATTACAGTAGTAGAACTACTTAGACCACTTGGCCACCGAGGCCCCGAAAATAAGGTATATGTGAGATGAATCTTGTCAAATGGACATGTACACCATACAATCATTTTATGCACTAAATATAGTTGACCTACATTTATTGCCGATGGTGTCTTAGAAACTTCATGTTGGTCCATGAACCATGCAAAACAGGTTAAGATCAGATGAACTCCGTCAGATGGGCATGTGCACCTTACAACAATTGTTAATATACATTATATCTGATATATTATGTATTGTATATGAGAAAAGACCTAATCACAAAAACTTAACCTTCATTACTAGACATTGACATGGTAAAAAGTCAGATTATACCTGAAAGACGGACATGGAGAAACGGATCTAATCACGAAATGTAATGTTGATATCAACCATGAAATGAGGTTAAGGTCATGATGGGCATGCATACACTTTTAAATAACCCGCGTAGCGGGTTATTCAGTGTGCACCACGTTTTTGATGTCTTTTCTTCATAGACAGAAAAACTATTACAGTCATTCCTTAAATAACTGGGATATAATATATTGACATTTTATATTAGTATACTATTCCCAGCTAATAATAAGTATTATAAGTTATTATAGTATAAGTGGGGTTAAGAATTAAGTTAACTAAATGATAGTTGCTAAATGCATAAAGAAATTGAGAAACGGAACTAACCACATACCCCACATAGCCGGACCAAAGAACATAAAAATGAGGTCAAGGTCGCGTGAACCAAGTCAGATGACTACTTACACTTACACTAATGCAGTCCAAATGTAGTTTACTTATACTTGGAGTAATTTGAGACTTCTATTATGTGTTACAGTTAATAGTATCAGATGTAACTGAAAAGGACAACTTATCAATAAAACTTACTGTTGATTTTATAAAACCTTTAAACCATGAAAATGAGGTCAAGGACAACTGACAAAGGCCATTAAATTTGTTTATCAAGACATCTATACACAACATATGATGCATAGCTCTTCTACCTTTAGACATATTAAGCTAAGTACATATGGTTTACTTCAGACTAGCATTCATATGGCTCACCTTCAGCAATGGTTGCTACATGAGACAAAAATGGACATATATTGACTAACAAAGGTAAATCAATCTATATGCTCATTTTACCTAGGAAGGATTTAATATAAAGTACATGTATAAACAAGTGTGCATATGCTGAAATGTCTCGGTTGCTTTACTTACTAATTTACTGACCATTAATGATTTTATGTTGAATGTCTCAAAGATAAAGGTTAAACTACAATTATCACATAAACTTATCATTATCAGTGATCCATGACAATGAGGTTAAGGTCAGATAAACCCTACTGGACAGACGTGTGCATCTTACAATCTTTTCTTACTCAAAATATAGCTGACCTATTGCTTATAGTATTCAAGAAATAGACCAACCATAAAAACTTAACATTGACCAATGAACCACGAAAATGAGGTCAAGGTCAGATGATACACACCAGACAGACATGTACACATTACAATCTTTCTGTGCAACAAATATAGTTGACCTATTGCTTACAGCATTTAAGAAAAACTTCACCAGGAAAACTAAACATTGACAAATAACCATGAAAATGAGGTCAGGGTCACATAATCCATGCCAGACAGACATAATAACCTTTCAATTATTCCATGCACCAAATATAGTTTGTCTATTGCTTATAGTATCTAAGAAACAGACTTAACCAGGAAAACTAAACATTGACCAGTGAAACATGAAAATGAGGTCAAGGTCAGATGACCCCTGCAAGACAGATATGTACCATACACCAAATATATTTGCCCTATTACTTACAGTATCTGAGAAGAGGACAAAACTATGGAAACTTAATATTGACTAATGAACCGTAAAAATGAAGTCAAGGACAATGTACTTCTGACAGATGGAAACTTTGTAACACAAGGTATGAAGCATTCAGGTCTTCTACCCTCTGAAATATAAAGCGTTATACAAATAGTTAAGGCCACTGCCAGATTGTAATCCCTATGTCTCGCATTCTGCCACTTTCATCACAGGCAAGCCAAAAATGGGAGTTTATGAATTAATAGATTATTTATTCCATATAAGTCTTATAAGTCTTATTTTATTATTAATAAGTTCTTTTTTTAATACAAATTGGCTTTTGAATAAAAATTGTATTCACCTAAAGTATGGTGATATTAACAACGCTAAACATCCCATGTATTATTGTATAATAATGGTAAAATGTTTGATGTACAATATGTTTTGGTAAATAATTGTCATTAAATACCTTTTTTGTCTTGGTATATAGAATAAAACAGTTGGTCTCAGTGAATATAAGTTTTAAAAAAGTCAAAATACCACATATTAACCTCATCTTAAGACAGCAATTGTTTTATATTTCAATCTTGTAACAAAAATCTTCAAAAATGAAACCAGCTCAATAACAATAAAAACTATAAACAATGAGATATATATGTTGCTGATTTGCAGATGAGTCAAAAATATTCATTTGATAGTTTGTACTATTATAAGTCATAAGTTGTCTGGATACTTGGATAGAACTTACAAGGCAATCTATCAGGCTAAAACACTTCAATAATCTGCATACAATTTATTTTGGGCATGAATGATGTATATATCAACTTGCATAACTAAAGCAACTATTTTTTTTTATATGTGAATCCTATTCAATTTATCTATCACAAAACTTGGCATACACATGAAATAATAAATTATTGGGGGGGTGGAGGGGGCAGGACTTTATAATAAAAGTACTTCATAGAATTAGCATAGATCAGATACAATGAGCATGGTAAATGAATGTCAAATATCATTAACCTAAAATTACCTAATAATTCAATCTTCATTTAAATAAAAATTGTTAATAGCATCTTCACAACATATGCAAAAGTAACACTTTTTGTAGAGATTTGCACTCTCTGCATGTTAAAGAACCCTTGCAACAACTGTTTAAGTGGTCCCTATGTGGCCTGTTGCAAGGCTAAATTTCTATTCATATCTAATTTACCCTCATTTTTCAGTGACATTCCAAATTTCAAAACCTTCATCTATGTTGACCCATATTACAGGACCTACCTATTGTACTTATTTGTTAATTTCTTCCTGTCCTGAACATACATGAAATATTTTCCACTAGACGTAAAGCAAACAACAATCAATCATTGAATCAATAAATACCTACCGGTATGTTGAACCATCTTTAACTTTAGACACATGCTAGTTAAAAATAACAGTTAAGATTGTCAATTAAAAACGATTGTCAATTAGTTTGTGGCATATCAACAACTTGTACAGGAACAGTCATAACATGCTGTGGGGATAACATTTGTTCCATCATACCACCATGATCTGATATTGTAGAAATGTCAATTGTCTGAACTGTTGCATTTGGTATTTCATCACTGGATGTAGGAATCACAAACTGTGCAGAGACTGGATTACCTAGAGAATCAACAATCTCAACTACTTGTGGCACATTTTGAACAGAGTGAGTAGGGTTACCAGGTGGTGACATCATACCAACACCTGGATGAGCTACTAGTTGAATTGTGTGTGTATTTTCATTGGTATGTCTTAAAAGTCCAGCACTGACAATCGGTTGCTCTATATTGATTTCCGGTATAAACTGGTGTCCTAATTGAGGAATCTGGTTCCCTATATGTGGTCTTATAATTTGTCCATCTGGTAGTTGCACTAGAGGCAAAGATATATTTTGCACTACTTGTATATTGGGGACTTGGTAAACAGTTTGCTGCTGTTGTGCATGCTCTCTATTTTGTTCATTCAATGCCACAATCCTGGTATATTCACTGTTGTGTATTAACCCTGAACTCAAATGACCTTCAACAGTTGCCTTAGAATGAGAACGTTTGGTTTTCTGAGGTCTTGATACCTTTTCCTTACCATCATTTCTCTGATTATTCAATGTCTGTGCATGTCCACTAGACTGTCTATTTGTCCTTAGAATACTACTACTATATGCATTGTCTATGAATTGTAATCCTTGTTCAAATCCTTCAATATCTCTACTAGACCTTTGTGAGGCTCTTTCCTCTCGTAACAAATCTCTAACCGGTCTACTAGAACTGCTTAAACTGTCACCGACACTTTTATTTCTCTTTGAAACAGAATGCTCAGTATCACTTGGAAATGAAAGTCGGCGATGGCTTACTTCTTTCTTTGATACAGATGGTGTTTCAAATGAATGACGCTTATTTGATGCATTATTGCCTCTCCCAGAATCAAAATTTAACTGTCGTCTGTATGTTTGACTAGAATTTCTTTCTTCAACATTTGTCATTTGAATCTTTTTATCTCTCTCTTGTCTATAACTTGATTCTAAAATATCACTGTTAGGGGTTTGTTCTTCTAAAGCAGATGCCTGATCATACTGATGATACTGGCTATAAGTTTGTGTTGCTGACCTTTGCCCTTCATCAGGTGGCATAGGTAAACTTTCTGCTTGTTGGTTAGTACCATGCATTGCCACAGAGCGCATGGTGAAACTAGTTTCTTCATTTGCTGGAGGATTTAAACTTTGTTTAGGTAGTTTCAATACTTTCTTAGTAGTCAGTTGTAAATTATTACTAGCTAATTCTTTGTGAAGCTTGACATGACTTTTTAATGAGTCCTCTCGTACAAAAGATTCACTACAGAGATCACATTTAAATAAACGTTGAAACTTTCTATAAACTAATTTATCACTCCTGACCTCTTTCTTGGAAGAACTATCTTTAGACTTCTTGCTACTACCATTGCTGGTGTTTCGTTTTGGTCTGTTTTCATGATAATGTTCTCCATGTTTACGTTTTATATGTTGTTCCAAATTTTGTTGATGTCGAGTGGTAAAGTCACAGTGGTGACATTTTAAATAGTCAGACTTATGCATTGTCATATGCTTTTTAAGTATTTCATTGCTTGCACATTTAAAATCACATATTTGGCAAGTGTTGTCTGGATCAAATGGTTCATGAATTTTAGAATGATTCCATAGTGAACGCTTTGAAGAGGTTTTATATGAACAATGACTGCATTTCAGGTTTTCAGCAGAATGATGGACTTTCATATGGCTGTGCAAGTTACCTAAAATAAGTTACATAATATTATAACAAAGCAATGGACCTATTCAGAAATGGGCATTATGGTGTTCTTCCCTGTGGTTGTCTAAAAGTTTGTAACGTTTCTGTATTTTACAGTAAGATTGTAAAGCTATTTATGACAGTATTTGTTAGATTTCTTTGACGGATATTATTTATAATTTATAGATATTGCTGTGGATTTATTTATTTATCATGGGTACAAATTTTTTTCGTGGATTGAGTAAAACTTGCATTTTCATGAATATTTAATTTCATGGTTTTGGCAAAGTCTGCATAAAACCTTATAGAAAATGTGGCATTTGTTGAACATTTAAATTCGTGGTTCACCTGTACCCACGAAATCTACTTAAATTGGTATCAAAAGAATAATAATGAATCCACAGTACCCAGCAGCTGTGCCTTTAATGCACAGTTGTAGTGTGATCAACAAGCAGCAAAGAATTCCACTGAAATCGGTGATTTAGGCTGTCTTGAACTTGCAGTGAGGTGAGGGTTTTTGCTCCATGTTAAAGACTTCACAGTGACTTTACTGGAAAACAGCACTGTTACATTGCTTTAAGCTTTTCCAAGTGTATGTAGTGATTTTGTGTCACAGATTGATATACCTTATCATTTCTTTTTTATTTTGATTGGTCTAGACAATCTTAATGTTGATAATTTTATGTTTTTATTGATATCATAAAACTATAATAAAGGCTGACATGTTAGAATGTTCGCCAGAAAAAAAATATAAACATTAAAAGTTTTTCTTATTCTTAGCCTATTTATCCTTTTCCTTAATTGTAGATTATTTCTATTTAATCAACATGTGGTTCGTTCGATCTCAGTTCTTCATTAATCAAAATTCAATTATGATATCAATCTTTCTTGAGATCCTCTGAATTTTCTATTGTGACATTATGAAAAAGGGGACCATGCCTTAATGATGTTACTTAGAAAGAACACATTGTTTGCAGATCATTGGAAAAGAAGAATTAGTTTTGTTTCAATATTGTCCTAAAATCATTAGAGAAACAGATCAACCACAAAATCTCGTGTAATACGATATTTCTCCACTCTCAACAGTTAAATTTTAAATATTTTGGGTCCTCAATGCTCTTCAACTTTGTACTTTATTCTGTCTTTTAAACTTTTTTAATTCAAGCATCACTGATGAGTCTTTTGTAGACATTTATCACTTTGATAAGGTTTTTCTCCAGTGTGTGTTTATATCTTCTTACCTTGTGTGGTACACTTGACTTGACATTTATCACATTGATAAGGTTTTTCTCCAGTGTGTGTGTTTCTATCTTCTTACCTTGTGTGGTACACTTGACTTGACATTTATCACATTGATAAGGTTTTTCTCCAGTGTGTGTTCTCATGTGTCTCCTTAAATCTGATTTGATTTTGAACTTTGAACTGCAGCATGGACATTGAAATGGACAATCTCCAGTATGTGTACGCAGATGGACTGTCAATTGGCTAGACGTTCGACAACAATAACTACATAGCTGACACCTATAAAACAGATAAATAACAACATAATTTGGAATATACATGTGTAATGTCCCATATGAGATAAAAATTTACAGTGGAAAAAAAGAAAAAGTTTGGGTTTCAGAAAAAAAATATTCAAAAGTGGATTTGATTAAAACAATACAACTTTTGGTTAATGACTTTTCAAGAAAATGGATAATTTTCGGTGTTGACCCCTTTGAAACCTTCATTGTTTTTACGGGACTAATCTCAATAAACAATTAGGTAGTCAAAAATAAATCAAAAGTTGTTGCCTTTTAACTAATCAACTGAGCTTTGCAATATTTCTCTAAAATTGAAAATATTTTTGTTCAACTTGAAATTTTTATCTCAATTGTAATATTTTATCCCAACAGGTTATTATATCATATTTGGGTGATTGATTCCAACCTGTTTTAAAAACGTTTTTAAAATATTATCAAGTAGACCCAAGGGCAAGGATATCATCTGTAAAAAAAATATGCTACAATGGAAACTATATACTTGGTTTCTTATATGTTCGTAAATACTAATATTAGTTGATTGAGGAAACATTTCATGGATATTTGATTTTGTGTTTTTGCAAAAGTCTGCATACAAGCCTATAGAACATTTTTACTTCCTTTGTTGAACATTTAAATTCATTGTTTACCTTCTTATTAAAATTAGTTGCCTACTAACCACATAGTGAGTGTGAAATATACAAGAAAGAAAACATTGAGATAAATATAACAAGATGTGGTATGGTTGCCAATGAAACAACTCAGCACCAGAGACCAAATGACATAGAAGTTAACAAATATAGGTAAAAGACTTAGTCTCACTGTAGCCTTCAAAAATGAGCAAAACCAATACCACATAGTAAGCTATAAAAGGCCTCAATACAACAGATATGAAGTAATTCAAATGAAATAAAATGCTCCGCTGGGCGCAGCTTGATACGACCGCAGAGGTCGAACCCTGAACAGTTGGGGCAAGTATGGACACAACATTCAAGCTTGATACAGCTCTGAATTTGGATTGTGATTAAATATTTGACACAGCATAGGTTTCTGATACAGAATGAATGTGGTCTAAGAACTTAAAAAACTTTAATTTACCTATTATGGTTCAATATCCAAAATCTAAATACATACACGGTTATATTCAGCATATCAAAGAACCCCAAGAATTCAATTTTTGTTAAAATCAAACTAAGTTTAATTTTGGACTCTTTGGAGTAGACCAATTTGAAAACAGGACCAAAAATTAAGAATCTAAATACACTGTTAGATTCAGCATATCAAAGAACCCCAATATTTCAATTTTTGATGAAATCAAACCATATCATTATTATTTGCTTTTATATATAAATTAAAAATAACCAACTTAAAATGGAAAATTTTAAAGAAAAAAAAAAAGGAAAAAAAAATCCCCCCCTCCAATTTTTTGAACCCCCTTATAATTCATCACCACCAAACTCAATCCCAGACTTCCCTTTGTGATATGGTACCTTGCAGTACAATTTCAGAGAGATCCATACACTTGAACACAAGTTATTGTCTGGAAACTGTAAAAATGCTTGTTTTTTGGCCCCTTTTTGGCCCCAAATTCCTAAACGTTTTGGGCAATTACCCCCAAACTCAAACCCAGCTTTCCCTTCGTGATATGGAACCTTGTAGTACAATTTCATAAAGATCCATATACTTACACACAAGTTATTGTCATGAAACTAGAAAAATGCTTGTTTTTTGCCCCTTTTTTGCCCCTAATTCCTAAAATTTTGAGGCAATTACCCCCAAAATCAATCCCAGCCTTCCCTTTGTGGTATGGTACCTTGCAGTACAATTTCTGAGAGATCCATACACTTGAACACAAGTTATTGTCTGGAAACTAGAAAAACGCTAATTTTTGACCTCTTTTTGGCCACTTATTCCTAAACGTTTTGGGCAATTACCCCCAAACTCAATTCCAGCTTTCCCTTTGTGATATGGAACCTTTTAGTACAATTTCAGAAAGATCCATACACTTACACACAAGTTATTGTCATGAAACTAGAAAAATGCTTGTTTTTTGCCCCTTTTTTGGCCCTTAATTCCTAAAATTTTGAGGCAATTACCCCCAAAATCAATCCCAGCATTCCCTTTGTGATATGGAACCTTGTGGTACAATGTCAGAGAGCTCCATACACTAACACACAAGTTATTGTCTGGAAGTTACAAAAATGCTTATTTTTGGACCCTTATTCCTTAACTGTTGGTACCATAACCCCCAAAATCAATCCCAACCTTCCTTTTGTGGTATTGAACCGTATGGTAAAATTTCATAGAGATCCATTCACTTAAACTAAAGTTATTGTGCGAAAACCAATGTGTCTTCGGACGACAACGACGCCGACGTCATACCAATATACGACATAAAAACTAACGCCTGACTATGTACAAAGCAATAAACGAAAAACAAATATGATATACAACAACAAACGACAACCACTGAATTACAGCTCCTGACGTGGAACAGGCACATACAGAATGTAGCGGGGATAAACATGTTTGATGGCACCAAACCTTCCCCCTAACCTAGAACAGTGGTGTAGCCGTACAACATAAGAACAAACTATAATAATCAGTTGAAAGGGGCTAAACTCATCAGATCAATTCAAAGCACATAAAAACCGACAAAAAAAACACAACAAATACTTTACTTTCCATTTCAGCCCAGGCCTTAAAGTCATAAAGTTTGCAAATATGATTTTCATATTCAGACTCGGAAAGATAAAGAGGAGGAACTGGATACACAAAACAGGTCCTTTTTCTACAATCCACCACAAATTTTTCACCCTGAACAAGAGTTGCAACTCTGTCAAAAAATGAAATTTATAGTATGACATCTTACATGTGAGGTCTTTCATCTGTATGTATGATAGCATGTTTCTTCAATGTACTTCTATCTACTGCTCTGTATTCACCTGGCAATCAAAAAACAATATCAGGTCAGATTAAAAAAACAAAGGCCACATCACATAAATTCTTGTAAAATTAAATACATCTGTCGTTTTGAGATAAGAGTGGAAAAAATCTTAAAAATTCCTCTCTTATAAATATTTTGTTCCCATGCTGTTAGAAATGTGGCATTAGCTGGCAAATATTTGGCTATTGGATAGACTCAAACTCTCAAATTGAATTTATGACAGATTAAATGGTAAAGTTCTATGGGAAAAAAAAATAACAATGCAAGAAATTGCTATAAAGTTTCATTATTTCATGCATATTTTGGGTCTGGATGGCATCTAAACAACTATCAACATGACTTCCAAAGATTGCTGAAGGGCATGTGACTCTGATATAAATATAAATACAGACAGACAGACAGACAGAAATGGATTCAGAGCATGTGCAAACTTTTCCTGGCTCTGTTTATTAAATATCAAAGATAAAAAAATTATTTAAATCATAGTTTTACCTGTATAAAAATGATTTTTGTGGCCTGAAACATCAACAAATTAGATCTTACTGCTAGCTTCTATAGTTTCACTTTTTCAAATGACAATCTTTTCAATAACATGTTCGATATATCTACAATCAATCTCTAACTGAGGTCTCATCATGCGTCACATGCATACAATTCACAATTATTGACTTAAGGTCCAGTGGGAAATATGTCATGCATTTTCAGGACAATAGATCACTAAGACATTGAATAAATGTTTTGCAAGACAATTATGTATCACCAAAGTTTGAGAATATTCTAACAAAATTGAACAAAACTGACTGCAAATAGGGTATACTTATTCAATACTATTTCCTTGTAAATGTTTGATTTAAAAATAGTTTTATTAATTTCTTCCCACAGTACTGTATAAATCATAGCTAATGCCACACTTTAAGTAACCTTCCATATATCAATCATTCAACTAATGAAAATGTGATTGCAGATTCACCCAAAAAAGGTTACACATAATTTTGCTAACTATTTGGTATACATCATAAAATGGGTAATCATTCTAACCATACTGCCTGATCATTTTTTGTCAGATTCTTTGGTAGTGTGGTATTTTCAATCAGGAAAATCACAATCACTTTCATTACTAATGTAAATAATTCAATAAACTTTCTAAAATAAAAAATTAAATTAAATTTCAATGTGTGAATTTTTAGGACTATTTCTAGTTTATCCACCTAGAGTAGAGGAAGTGACAAATATTTCCCTTACTTTTAAAATAGCCATGATGTTTTTTTTTAAAAGGACACAGTAATAAAATGTTTCAACAAAAATTGTGACCAAGTAGAAAGTATAAAACAACACTTCAACTTCAGTTAAAATGGCCACTTCTCAACATGATTTAGCATTAAAAAACTTGTCAATAGTAAAATATAACTTGGATGGATGAACTGATTTCTCACTGAATATGAATAGATAAAATAATTTCTCTCAGTACATGTTAGTGTCAGACAGATATATGAAGCTGATATCAGAATGCAAGTTATTATTATTGCAATGAATACTCACACAGTCACATTGATAAAAACCTCACAATAATTTCTGAATTTACATTATATATAATTGTAGAAATGTACTTACAGAGATCACACTGAAATGGTCTCTCACCAGTATGATGGCGAATGTGGAGTCGTAATTTATCTACACGACTAAAACTTTTCTCACACATTCCACATCGATAAGGCTTCTCTCCTGTGTGTGTGCGGATGTGTCTAGTCAGATCTTTAAAGTACACAGTTGAAAATTTACACTTATCATATGTGCAAACATACTTCTTTTCTCTTTCTTTGCTGGGTTTATTTGCCATCTTCTTGGAAGATGAACCTTTTTAAGGAAAAATATTCACAATATCAACAATGTACAGAACAGATTATTCATCTCATTACCTACTAAGTATGTGTTATTTTTTAAATCATGAAATGAAGAATTTTTCTTTTTTTCCTCAATCTTCTTTTGTTGTGGTATCATTTAAAACCAAGATGGTGATATTATTTACAGCTAAGAAAGAAAAAAAGTCTCAACATTTTTTTTTAGGTTAACAAGTACATCTTTCATCAAATCTTATACAAACCTGTGTTTTTCTTTGATTGTATGTCAGGGTGTTTTTGAGGAATTCTCCCTTGTGTTGTCATATCATAGTGTTTCTCTGGTGATAACACTTGTATAATACTTCCATCTGTAGAATAAATTTATAAGCATTATACAAATAGTTCCTTAACTAAGGACACCAGTTTTCAGTAGAAGTGAAAATCATATTTTACTTTCAAACAGTTAAAAATAATAAAGCATATATTGAGTCTCTAGTGTCAGAGACAAATGCCTCTTAAATATTGTTAATTTTTTTTTTTACAGACAATGAATAGGGATTTGTTTTACAAATCTTTAAAAATGTACCTCATCTTTTTATCATAAAACTGCAAATTGTTTGCATGAAATTTTCTGTTCAATATATCCATTTAAAATTCTACAAGGTGTAAAGCCCATCACTTGAAAGTTAATTCTGGTACTTTTCTGTCATAAATACACTTCAAAATACTACTCAGTTATTCACTCAGTGAATATGGCATGAAAATTATTAAAATCAGACTTATGCTCTAAAATTTTTCAAATCAATGTTTATGAAATAACAAACCTCAACTTTGAAAATAGAAAAAGATAAGAACTTAAAAAAAGCGAAATTTTAAAATATAACAAAATGAAGGTTTTTAAAAACATTTAGCTGTCCCTTTGTCTTAATCTGGATATTTATTTTAGAGAAAAAGTGAAAGCATTGTAAACTTAAAACCAAAAATGGGCAAATAGTAAAGTATCTACTATACTATAAAATTTATTGAATTTTTTTCTATCAAATTACAGGTCTGCAAGGTAATGTCACAAGCGACACATAAAATCAATTATATAAACAGGACATTCAATTTATCTACAGCACAAAAAATAACTAGTTTTGTAATATATTTGATTTTCGTTTATTGTTATATACATAAATCAGGCTGTTAGTTTTCTGGTTTGAATTGTTTTACCTTTGTCGTTTTGGGGATTTTTATAGCTGGCTGTGCGATGGGTTTTGCTCATCATGCTCATTGTTGACGGTCATACGATGACCTTTAGTTTGTCACTTCTACATCATTTGGTCTCATGTGGAGAATTGTCTCATTGGCAATCATATCACATCTTCTTATTTTCATATTGTCCAAAAGAAGTAAATTAATTCGGAACTCCTCTAGAAATTGTCCATTCTACTTTTACTGTTTGAACAGGAGTATTCAAATAAATAAAGCAGAATACTTACCAACAGGGTGCACTTGATGTAAATGAACTGTGTACTGAATTTGTCCAGGGGAAGTAACTTCGTTAGAACCATCTTGGTGTAGAGGAATACTCTGATTTTCTAATTCCTTAAAAAGTTAATATAAAAAAGAAAAGCTTTGCTTTTTATTTTCAAATGCAATTGCAATAAAAAGGTTAAAACTTCAAATGCAATAAAAGTACACATTACTTCAAATTATTTTCTTTAAGCAAGGTAAATTGCTTAATGGAGATACTGATGTTTATCTTTCTGGTATATTTTTTATATGCTTAATGATTTTTATAGTTTTATTCAAATACAATATGAATTAACCATTGGTTCAATTTCATGCATCTAAATTAACAAAGTGATAATTTTCTAAATTCAAATATTTAAATTTGGAGGTTTTATGTCCATGTAACCTTGATGACAGTTGCTAGCTGCTATATTCAGATAACTTTATTTAAGCTGCTCATATTCATACCTGCACAGATTGATATGTCTGTAGATCCCCTTCCATCCTAGACTCTGCATTGTTGATTGGTAAGAAATAGTTTTTCTCTGGTGTTTTATGTAAAACATATTGTATTCCCGATGCTGTTCTTTCTGAATTTTGTTCTGCATTTCTATGTTTTTGCTGGTTGATTTCTGATTGTGTATTTGCTTCGACCCTATCTTCTGAATTTCCATATTGTACACCATGTGCTGAATTTCTATTTGAATAACTTTGCCTTTTATATTTTTCAGAAAAACTATTCTCCTGTTCCCTTTCTGTTTCCACGTTTTGTAAAAGAGGATCTTTGGAACTCTGCATTAAATTACTTTCAGACAGAGGATCTTTGGAACTCTGCATTAAATTACTTTCAGACAGAGGATCATTTTGGAAAAAAGAGATTTGACCCATGGTAACGTCATTAGCCGTTTTAAAATTTTGTGCAGATTCTATGTGTTTATCTGAAGACTGATATCTACTGGTTGAAGAAGTAATGTTATTTAATGCATCAATTGTTATTACTTCACCTTTAGTTATACCTTTTTGTAACTGTCTTTCTTTTAGTTTTTCAATACAGTCATTGTTTAACAAAGAAACTGCCTTTTCATTCTTATCATGTATATTATCCATGGTAAGGACTTGCTCCTTATGATTTCCAGACTGAACTAGATCAATATTTACATTTAAAGAAGGTTTTGTTTTCTCCTTTCTTTTATCAGATTCCAGCTTTTGTGTTACTCTTGAAGGTAACACAGGAGTGTTATATTTCACCTGTAATTGTTTGTCTAATGTATGGTTAATAACTCCTGTAACTGAACCTTGAGGTATGATATTTTGATGAACATCTTCTGCACAAGTGTAAACCACATGTTGTTGTTGTGGTTCATGTCTCAGTACAATAGGTTGGTTTTCTCTGGATCCAGTCAGAGTTGTTGCATACCCATCAAGAGCAATGCTATGGTCTTGTCTTAAGGTAAGAATACCAGATTCTAAGGAGATAATGTTTTGTATGGGATTTTTGTAAGCTGGGTTCAAAACTTGTTTAACTGCTTGAGTGCCATCTTTCAAATTTTCTTGAATAGGTTGGGTATCTACATATTTCTGATTTGGCTGACTTGAATTTTTTTCGTGAGCAACAACAAATTGTGGCTGTTCATACACCTGTACTTGTTTTTGCCTAAAAGATGGCACTGCTGTGCTTTTTGGATCTGGAGTAATGTTTCCTGACAAGTCATGATTTAAACAATGATCATGTGATTTTTCATTTGGTGGAATTACATTAAGTACTTTTGATGAGCCAGCTGAACTTGAAGCTATAAGTTGCTTAGTTGTTGTCTGTGTATCCAGTGCAGCAACACTTACACTGTTGTCTTGGTAACTTGTAATCAAATTTCTTACAACTTTCAGAGGACCAGTAGGGATAGTATTCAATGCTTGATCCTGTTGCATAATGTTCCCAGAATTCACATTAGAATGCAAAACAGAATGATAATGTTGTAATCCCAGATTGATTGTTGTTTTATTTGCAAATTGTGATTGAGATGGCTGTAAGTTGTGCTCTTCAACAACAGTAGAATCAGATGTACGCTGCAATTTTCCTGAACTAAGATACATTTCATTTTGAACTGCAATCAGCTGATCAGAAGTTATTTGGGGAGATGATCTATTTAAATCATTGGAATCACTCAATATTATTATAGATTTTTCTTCATATGTAGGAGGAAGAGCTACTTGTGGTCTGTTGTCACTTGGAATCAACTTTTCTGCAAAGTGTGATGTAGGTCGGGTCGTATCTTTCGTGGGAAAATCTGACAATGATGATGATGGTATAACAGGGCTGTGAAACTCTGAGATCTGTGATCTTGCAATTAAAGAATAAGTGCCATTGTGATCAATGACCATGTGTAAAGTTTGTGGAATCATCTCTTGTACAAGATTTTCTGAAAATAAAAGAAAAATGTGTAAGGTACTATGAATGAAACAAACTTTATTTTTAATTAAAAAAATGCTGTGCCACGAGCATTTATAGAAACATGAGCACATAATGCAAATGTCCCCATATTTCAAAAGACTTCCAGAATTGTAAACCTGAATAATTATTTTTTTTTTTTTTATAAATTGAAAAGGGACAAACTTCCATTTTTATCATAAACTCTGAAACCACCACTTAGAAAAGTTTATAAAGCGAAGCTGTTTTTTGAAACCAGACATTATGTAAAAATTTTGTAATCAACCAATAGTGTAAACCTGGCTTATCATAAGACCTGCACCTATATGAAGATCCATGTGCTGGAAAAAAATAAATGGCAAATGAGAAAATGACAGACAATTCTGACTCTTGAAACCTCACCTCTAATGTCAGTTGACAGATCTTGACACACATCACTTGACAGTACAGAGGATGTTTTAGATGACACCACATGCATCACCTTAGCCAGCATAGATGAAGACACGTTAGTTGACACTACAGGAGTCATCTCCGATGACATTGTAGCTGGAATCTCCTTGGCTGATATGTAAGTTGACACTTCACAGGACAATTCAGTTGATGTCACAGCTGGTACTATAGTGGTTTCAGTTGATAAATGAGTTGATTTCGGAGGTAAACTTTCAGTGGCCATTACTGGTGGCACAATAGTTGAAATAGTAGGAGAAACCTCTGTTGACATTACAGGTGACATAAGATTCAGAGCTGTCACTTCAGTTGCCACATTTGATGATGATGTGTTGATTAGCCCTGTATGTAAATTAGATGAAGTCTCACGTGTTACTGACTTAGCTGATGAATCGTGGCATACAATTCTGTCGGTTGCCAATCTGTCTTGAAGTGTTGATTGTATGTATTCATGACCAGGAGGTGGTGTACAGACAACTGATTCAGCTGAGGCAGAATCAAGGTGAGAACTGACTTCAGCTAAATCTTTTGACTCATTCTGATCACTCTCTGGATAATGATCCTCAACTAATGATCTTGAAATAGAATCTTGTTTTGTTTTTTGTTTTATTTCTGGTGATGCACATTCAATATCTGTTTCTATTGTTGGTGTACTACATAACTTAACAGAAGTTTCAGCATGTAACTGGTTCAGATCTCTTGATTTATTTGATGGTGAAGTATGTTCAGTACAATGATGTGCAGCTGTTTTATCAACATTCTGTCCTGATTCAGATGATTCATGTTCTGTACAAGGATTGGCTAAAGCAAATTCTGGTTGCTCAATACTTGAATCCTGAATCTGTTGACATTTTTCATTTTGAATGTTATAAATCTCTGTCACTGGTATACAATCATTTCCAGAAATGTGTAACGAATTTGAAGGTAGATCTAATTCTGAGTGTTTTCTTAAAATTTCTTCACTTGCAGTCTTAGGTATGCTAATATGTTGAAGACATGAGTAATTCCTGCTTTCTGTTTCATTTTCTTTTGAAACTTGATCCTGAAATTAAATTTGTAAATAGCATTTTGAAATAGATTTAAAAGAATGTAATAATGATAGTACATGTATCTGTAAGATTTATTTACAATTTTTCCAGATACATTTGTAAATCTTAACTCATGGTATAAACACTATCCTATCTTTATAGACAATATGATGATCTCCAGACGTCATTGGTTTTCTCATGCTTTTAAGTTGTAATCACATTGTCATATATCCCTTATAGCCATTCATTCATACTATCATTTAAAAAAAAAATGTATGCTACATTTTGTATTTCTCTATCAAAATATGGCTGATGGTTTAATCTGTTGTATTGTTTGCTAGCATAATGTTCTCTTTCATAAATTACAATTTCTCAGATCAGGATTCTCAATTATGATTTACTAAAATAATAATCATTGAAAAGAATATTAAGTTTTAATAAGTCATTATTTTTGTTCAAAGTATTTCATCTGCTAAAAATATCATAACAGTGAAATTTTAAAGGAAAGGAATGGTAGTTTCTTTTCTAGTTGTTTATTATACAAAAATTTAATTGTTTTATATGAAAATCTAATCATTTTTCATGTAAAAATCTAGATGTTGTCTCACATGAAAATCTACTATTTATGAACTTGTTATTGATTGCAAATCTTCATTAGAGTGGGGTTTATTTTGTTTTTGTTTTGTGGGGCTATGTGGTAGCCTTACTGATGTTAACTAAACATGTCTCTTTTTGGTTTTGAGAGGCTGTATAACAGTCTCATTGATGTCAACTCAACACATGTCTTTTTAAGGCTAATCAGAAATTTCTGTGTTCAATTATCATTGTTACAGTTGAACAATGGACAAATGCAGCATATGAAAAATACTATCAAAATTTTTAAATGTGACTTTTCATTTTTGCAAAACCTATCCAATCGCATTTTTTGCTATAAAAAAAAATATCGCAATAAATTTTAAAATTTATAATTTTCATATTAATATTCCTTTCACATATAATAAATATACTTTTTACTCAAATTAAAATTTCTCATATTAGGCTAAATAAAACTAAAAGGAAAATTATCATTAACTTACTGAGTAATGTGATTGTTGATTCTGACGGACTTCTTTCTGGACTACATGTAACACAGGACAAGTTTGCTTCTTGTGAACAATAAATTCATCTAAGTCATTTATTTCAGCCTTACAGGCACCACATATATGTGTATCCATAATAACTGTAAAATATAAAATAAGCTGTTGACACAGAGATACATTGTATGTCTCACTTTAAGGTAATTTTTATAGTTAGAGCAAATTTGAAATTAAAAAGGCAATACTTTACCATGTAAACATTGGAACTTTTGAGCAGTGTTCCTCTGTCTGTATGTCAAAATTATATATTTTGAAATATAGAACCTTGTGGTAAAATTTCAGAGATCCATACTCTATATACAAATTATTGTCCTGAAACAAGAAAAATGCTTGTTTTGGCCCCTAATTAACAGCTATGACAATGACAATAACCCCTAAAATTAATCCCAACCTTTCTATTATGGTATGGAACCTTGTGCCAAAAATTTCATAGAGATCTACACTTACATGTATACTCAAGTTATTATCTGTGAACCAAGTTAGTGTCTATGAACCAGAAAATGTGTTTTGGCCCCTTTTTGGCCCCTACTTACAAAACAGCTAAGACTATAACCCTAAAATCAATCCCAACCTTCCTATTGTGGTATGAAACCTTGTTCTAAAATTTCATAGAGATCCATACACTTATACTAAAGTTATTGTCTGCGAACCAAAATGTCTTTGGACGACGACACAGACATCCCCATAACTTTAAATTGAAGCAAAAATTTTGCTGTCGTTTAAAAATCAAAATCTTGTAGACATGCACATCTCTATTATGTATAGAAACATACTTCAAAATATAAAAGCTGTAGCTCAAAAACTGTAGGAGGAGATAGCCAGACAAACCATGATCTCTTTATGCAGCTAGTACCAAAAAATGACTAAGATCAAATACCTGGCATTTTTACAATATTTAAAAACATCAAAATCCTGTTGACATGCACACCTCTTTTATGTGTAGAAACTTCCTACAAAATATTGAAGCTGTAGCTCAAAGACTGTAGGAAGAATAGCTGGACAAATCATGTATCTATATATGGACAGATAGACAGGGGTAAATCAATACGCCCCTCAATATTTTGTCGCAGGGGGCATAAAAAACAGCATACTTAAATGCTGGGAAAATTGTAACCCTTTAAAATGTTATCTTGCACTAAAATCCCAATGGAGATTTTCAAAAGTTTGACCATTGTGTGACTAGCCTGTATTCTTGCATAATGTAAGGTTTAACAAGTGTCTGAAAAGGGGGAAATAGTTTTTATAGAGCCTCTTTATAGTTACTGTACAACAGATACAATTAAGTCTGCCTCATATCTTGACTTACAACTAGAAATTGACAATTTGGGTTGGTTGAGAACAAAGCTTCATAACCTAAGAGATTATTTCAGCTTCACAACTGTGAACTTTTCATTTCTATGTAGCAACATTCCAGTGCCTGCATATGGAGTATATATGATCCGATTGTTGTAACCACAATCTTGTCCTCATTTCATTGAATTATGAGCTACAAAATTAGACTTATTACAGGGTTTCTACTTGAATGAGCAACACCAGATGTGACATATGTGTAGCAGGATCTACTTACCCTTCAGGAGCACCTGAGTCTGACATCACCACCAGTTTTTGGTAGGGTCCGTGTTGCTCAGTCTTTAGTTTTCTAATGTGGTGTTTTGTGTACTGTTGTTGTTTTTCGTTTTTTCGCAATGGCATTGTCAGGTTCACTTTGGCTGTTTTGTATCCTTTTTTTTTTATAGTTTCACCTCTCTTTTCTATTTTTTTTTTTTTTTTATCTCATGTACTGATTAAGCACACTTTTCAAATTTTAGTATCCGTTTTTACCAATTTATGAATGTGGTATCTTAGATTTTAAGAATTTTTTTTGGAAAGCTGACAAATATCGTCTTTTTTCTTTCTTCATCTGGAATTGTCTGTCTCATCAATATCGAAAGGAAAATAGAAAATTCAGGTAACCGGTAACCAGTTAGAAAAAAATATTAAAACACATCACTATAACGGACAAAAAACTCCGGAGATGATTTCACAGCATCGAACTTTGATCTATTATAAAAAGAAAACCTTATTAAAATTTTAAAATGTGGTATGTTTGTATTATTTCTAACATTTTTTTCACAACAACGACTAACAAAAGAAAAACGACGAAAAGTCAATTACCAGTCCACAAAATACCACACCGAAAACTTACGATTGAGCAACACGGACCCGTGACAAAAAAATACTGGTCGGATGAACTCAGGTGCCCAGGACGCCAGGACAAGAAGAAATTTCTGCTCGTAATGAATTTCCCAGTATAGGGTTATTTAAAAATTGCAACTGTGGGAGAATTCTAGCATATTAAAACTAGTAGAGATGCTGAAGAATAAGTATTCAATCAGAAAATTTACACTGATGAGGCCCCTCATGGGGGTGTCCAAGTAATCACATAATCACAAATGTTTTGCCAATATAATCACATAATCATTAATTATTTTTTTTAAACGAGATAATCAAATAATCAAAAACATAGTCCTAGAAATAGTTGGTCTAGCTGGTAATCAAATAATCACTATAAAAAACGGCCAAGTAATCACATAATCAAAAACCCCATGAGGAGGCTCACTGATAGCTAGCATCACAAGGATATTAAATGTGACCTGGGACTATTATACTTACAGTATAATCGTTCCAGATATGACTAAGATCTAATGATTTACATATTAAAATTGTTACTAATATTTACGGTTACGAAAATTCTCAAGAGGTGGCTATAGTCTGGGAATACTAATATGTAATAGTCCCAGCTATAGTACGTTATTTTAATTAGGCAATTTTATATGAGATATGTTTGATGTTGAACTTTCTGGAAATGTGCGTTAATATCACAATTAAATAGTGAAAAGGTATCCCTTTTAAGTCATAGATAACAAATGGGTATGCACGAATGTTTACTTTGATCAAAATTTTATTATCATTCACAAGAATTGTAAGGTTAGACACAAAATCTGTATTTTAATCAGATTACCCAGTGAAAAGATTGTTAAAAATATACTGGGGGTTGCTATACCATCGAGCAGATTTTAAACTTAACTTGCTTATTAATATATTCATATCTATATTGTATGCTAAGCTAGCTATGAGCAAAAACGAAAGATTTTTAAATATTTTGTCAATAGGTAGCTCATATCATGCTGTTCGAGATTATCACAATAAAGTGTCACTTAAATTCTTTTTTTGGCACTCCAGGATGTTGAAAATTCCGTTTCTGTAAAGATTATGTATATGTGAGGAGAGATGTCAATTTTGCGAAATATAATTCGATGAGATAGCTATTATTTGATAATTTTAAGTCATAAAACGATACTGAACTGCATGGAGGCCTTAGTTTTTGTTTATTTGCTACATACAGTACAGTATAAATCTTTAATAAAAAAATCCATTTCTTAAATCCTCTGAATTACCCCATCCTTAACAAAACAACACCGGTATTATTTAGATGAATCAATTGCTTTTATATGTTGGTATAAGGAATGTTATCATAATTAAAGATGCAATAATACATGATTTTTATTGAAAATTTTAAACTTACATGTATTTCGATATAATGCATCTTTTCATTTTCAAGTAACAACCAATTTGGAAATGATTTAGGATTTCGAAGATTCAATAATAATACTTAACTCTTTTACCAAAAATCCAGAGACATCGTGATAAGTCTCTGGTCAAACTTAGCGGCACGATGTTATTTTTAATAGCCGGGGAAATGACAGAACAAATAATCGAAGTCGAGGACACTTCAGTCCACCAACACCCTCCTTAAATGTATACCAAATATTCCTGACGATAGAATAATAGCTTTGCATCACAAAAATGTGTTCTTTTAAATATAAAAATAAGAAGATGTGGTATGATTGCCAATGAGACAACTCTCCATAAGAGACCAAATAACAAAGTAATTAACACTGAACTATAGGTCACCGTACGGCCTTGAACAATGAGTAAAACCAATACAGTATATATATTTTTTTACGTGTTTTCTGTACTTATTTATCATTTATTTCTGAATATTTTCAGTGTACCCGTTTACGAGATACTTTCAAGCGTTTAATTGTGCGTTGAAACAAAATAAATCATGTTGTTACCGGGTCCTAAATATCGTTCGAGTCGAGACCGAGAGGTTAAAAACTTTTTGAAAAACATCTAAAATAGATTGGAAACAGTGTCGGCAGGGCATTAAAGACGATCTTTCGTCGTATTGTAGAATGATAGGTGTAAACGGGGAAAAAAATGATAAAAAATTTCTTGATTCTAAAATTTAAATAAATGTATGATTTGGATATTCGAATATCACATTTTAAAAAAATAATTTAGAAATAAATAAGAAAGAGTTCATAATACGGCAATTTCTAGAATAAGAAACAAACTTCAGGTACTCGCAAAGCGGTTTGTGTTTGTACCGACCGACAAGGCAGTCAACAATGTGGGGGTGGTAGTATACCGTAAATACTGCACACGGAAGTTTTTAAAATGAAATTTTAAATTCTTCTATATTCAAGTCCGTGCGCTCTATGGACAGAGAGTCATATAGTAAACAATCATATCATAACCACATCACAGCTTAAGGCCCCTTCTGAACATTTGAAGGTCCCAACTATGTATTGGTTACCTTAACTACACAAAAAAAAAACAATAATATATCGTTTCATCTCGGCCTCTAGTAAGTGTTCTACAACTAATTTTTCAGTTCTTTTAACTAGTTCCTTAACATCTATCAAAGAACTTATCATACACTTTTGTAATAAAACATATGAAAATAGTGGAATTAACTATTTTTGGAGTGTAAAAAATTCTTTTGCCGATGATGTTTTAGATAAATCACGTGCTTTGGATGGTCCTTTTGGTTCTGTTGACAGTTTTGAATTTTACTCTTTACACTGCACTTCCACACAATCTTATCAAACAAAAGTTTTCCTAATTAATTAAATGGTCGTTTGATAAATCTGATCGCAAATGTATTTGTTGCAACTCATATAAAACCTCCTTCTCTAATGGAACTTACTTTGAATAAATCAAATATAAACAGTAGTATTTGTCCTATCCTAGATTTAGATACTTCTCTTTTACACAGGAAACTCTACACAAACATTTACGACAAAAGGGACGATTTTTGTCGCCAACAAACTAGTTTAACCCCGCCACATTCCGTATGTGCCTGTCCTAAGTTAGGAACCTGTAACTCAGTGGTTGTCGTTTGTTGTATATCATATTCATTTTTCGTTCATTGTTTTTATACATAAATCAGGCCGTTAGTTTTCTCGATTGAATTGTTTTACATTTGTCATTTCGGGGGCATTTTATAGCTGACTATGCGGTATGTGTTTTGCTTATTGTTGAAGGCCGTACGGTGACCTGTAATAGTTGTAAATTTCATTGTCATTTGGTCTGTGGTGGAGAGTTGTCTCATTGGCAATCATACCACATCTTAATATTTTTATACAGATAATAACTTTAAGTGGTATAAAGACCTAAAAATATAGCTATTGAGGATAATTAGGTAGAGGAAACACTTATATTTTTAAAATATAATTTCCAATTAGGGATTGCAATGATACTATATGATAAAAACTATCGGCGATTTTTAAGAGCTCTCAAGATGACAGGCATGGTCATCTCTTCGATCATTTTTTTAATCGATTGTAGGCTAGCGGCGTAGAAATCCAACGGAATGCACATGCGATCGCGAGACATGGGCCCCTTTATTATTATTATATTTTTTAGGCTTCGTCTTTATTATTTCAACATAAAATAACTGTAGTAAAACGTATAACCTAGTTATTGTAAGATTGTATGGATTAGAGTAAGTAAGCATAAAACATCATCAGAGAAAATTGAATAAAAATCTTAAACACGCAAAAGGGGACAACCCCAAGCGGCTATGCCAAGAAGGTACTTTGAAGTTTTAGACCTAAAAACTACTTCTGGTCAACAATGTTCTACTTCTTAATGGACTTTTAAGTATGAACTAATTTGCAGATGAAAGGCATAAGACTAACTACTGCTTCTAGTGGACGTGACATCCATTCTCATAATGAACGCTTGCATGCTTATCAGTCCTACACACAGCCCTCAAATTGAAATTTTTTACACAACTACTGTTGAGATAAAAACAACATCAAACTTAAGTGGCTGTCAACATTCATTTAATGAAATATGTCAAATTTGTAATTTTATCAGTAACATTAACATTACACAGGTTGATTCAGATATCGTTATAATTTCTGCATCCTTTGTGATAAAAATAGTGGATGGCATTGTTTTTGCGCAAACATGACATGAAATATAATTTCAGGTGTATATTTAATGCACATTATATACATAAAAGAATAAACAATTTCACATCTTTTTGTTAGGGATGAAAAAAAAAAATCAACAGAAAGTAACCGTTTGGTAAAAACATTTCAACTAGTTCAAATAAAACATTTTAAAAGCAAGATGGAATTTTAAAATTAAACGTGCATATGTTTCAAATCTGTATGACAAATGGCATTTTCGTTATGAGAGAGAGATGTATATAGATTTCGATAATATGCATGTCTATGTTGTGTTATGATAAAGGTTGCTGAACTATGTGAAGCAAATCTGATAGTAAAATGAAACTTCCCGGATTAATACATCAAGAGATTTGAACTCCCACAGATAAATATCAAAGGAGGTTAGAAGTCAATTTCATGGTTCAATGTACTTAATTAAAACAGTGGCCGTTTTATTTAAAGTTAACAATAGCGGGTGTCGGGTTAATTAAAAGGTAGTATGTATTTATGCTAGTAATATAAAAAAGGAATATCCTTGAACCGGTTTGAAAAGGTTGTAGTTGTTTTACCCCCGTTTCTAAAATGCATTATAAATAGATTTAACGGCAGATTTACGAAAA